TTTTTGCCAATTTAATCTTCAAATCTGCTGGAAAAACTAACGCGTTTTGCTGGATTTAGCTGTGGAGGAGCGGCTCTGAGGTAAAAGGACGACTCGAGGATGATGATGACGGTTTTGATGAATCGCCACGTGTTCAGTTTGATGAACTGTAGACTGTAATCTCAGGATTTCATCACATGACTCCCCTCCCCCACCCAGCTCAGGGAGTGGAGGAAGAAGGCGGACATGTTTGAGGGGAAATGTGTTGGTTAAAAAGTATCCTAGTGGAAGACAAAGAAGATTATTGGAAGAAAGGTTTTGCTCCATTTTTGGGATTTACCATTCGACTTCTTTTTTATTCTAAACTGATAACGTTTTACTTTACAGTATTTAAAAATTTGTTTTAACTTTGATTTTAGGCAAAATAATTTTATTTAAGGTTAAAGTGTCTAAGTGTCAAAACCAAGGCGATTTTAATCTTTCTATATGGACTAAAACGATACTTGTCCTTTATCTGAGTGACATTGTGGTAGTCTGTAACCTATGTGTGGGGGATGGGCGCCAGTGGTTAGGTAACCATCGTGTGGGCTTCTTATGCTTTTAGAATATAGTTCGTTTAAAAATATTTATACACTCAATTATGAATATTTGTTATATTTACTATATTTCTTACTGTTGATTTTAATATTGTTTTTGAAACCTCCATTAACATATTAGAAGTACGCCTATTTTAGGATGAAAAACACTTGTTAGGTCGGTTAACAGATTTAATACGTGTAAAATTAGTTTAGGTTGTTCTTACACTTAAATGTGGCCTATGAGGAATTTTGCTGTGTCATTCTTGTTCACGTGGCCTTGCTAACATGGTGGCTTCCTGTTGAATTTTCAGTTTTATTTAGTGTGCTGAAAAATGCTAATTTTAATTTTTAGACTTGAAGTAAGCACACTCATTCATCATTGTGGACCACATTCAGGCCTTGTTCTGTGGCAAGGTTTATATAATACGTTTTTACTCAGCTGCACTCGATATATACTTGAGTTAATTGTACTTTTAATCCAAGAGTAACTTATTTTATTTGCGTCAGGTTGTTGAAGTGTACAGTTAATTCTTTTTGCTGTGTTGTTTCTCAAAGATGGCGGGTGAGCGACTGTTCTAGAAGAAAGACGTGAGCTCATGAGGGAGATGCCCTCTTCGCTGTGTTCGCGTGACCGAGTCAGAGAGCCAATGGGATTTCTAGTATTCAGATAGTAAGCCCGCGTTGCAATCGGCTCGACCAATCCCCGTTTTCGTCATGCATAAGTTGACGTAACATAATGTGAGAAAGAACACGGTGGTTGTGTTCCGTTTGCTCTCCGTGAAGGATTATATTCTGGAGCCAGTAAAAAGCTGCGTATCGGTTATACTGGATTTCCTGGACCAATGGTGTTGGGCAATGTTCTTGACAGGCAGGAAAAACGTACGAATGGGTTGGTCATGAAGCTTGTGTGCGGAGCTTCAAAAAGCAGTGGGCGGGGTAAGTTTGACAGACGTCTTAAGCGACGAATAAAAAAATCAGTGGGCGGGGAAATACGGTGGTTCTTCATCCAATGACGTGAATTGCGGGTTTATAAAAGACCGGGTGTAGTCACTCAGTCGCCATTTCAACGAGGTAGAGAGCGCGGTGTTCGTCTTAGTGGATTGTTAAATTAACCAACGACCAGAGACGGATCCTGGTTTCGTGTCCTTCGAAAACAATCCGGATCCATCCGGATGGATATGGCTGTTAACTCGCCTCTTGACAGGTATCTACCGGCTAAATAGACACTCACCTTTCCATCGAAGGGATTATTTTTGGTATTGCTTTTTTTTCCCCTGTTCTCTATCGGTACCAACCCACTGTTTGCTTTAATACGATTGGAAGTCAGAGATGGACAGCGGACGTGCATCAGGCATGATTTAATTTACCCGTTATTCATTTGGATTAAACTGGACTTAAATAGTAAATATTTTGGCAAAGAGAGCGAGTGCCGTTAGCACTACGCCTGCGCCATCTTCGGCTCTCCCCAGCCCTTGGCCGCTATCTCCCGCAGCTCGGAAGTTGGTGTTAGCGTTGCTAGCATTAGCATCACAAACTGAAGCTTTGTTTCAGACCCTTTAGACTGTTGGTCGCAGTTAAGAGTTAGATTAACATGTCACGGTCACTGTGTGTTTGACATGTCCGTTAAATCGGCGCCAAAAGTTTGTAGTACAAAGTACCCGGAGTCGTGTTTGACAAACGTCACAAAACTCAAACTGTATGTGTTACTGTGGAATGTGAGTGCAGGGTGTTAGCAACAGCTATTGCCGGTTTGTTGTGGTAGCCATGTGGCTGCAAGGCTTGTGATCGTTGGTGCAAAGACTTGACTCATCAACAGACAACGCATCTATTAATGCTGCTATAAAACCTCATAAGTTATAAAATATGACTAAGAAAACCAGGAACAGTGTTAAAAGTCTGTTAATATCTGATTTTAGGTCTACTCATCTTGTTTTAGTGGTTGCCTAGATACAGGACCCTGTCACTCAAGTCAGACCATGTAGTTTTTTTATAGTCTCTCGCCTCTAAATTGTTTATTATTAAAAGGAATGATACTTTTTAAAATTTACATTATAGCTAACATTTCATTAACTATTTTTGTAAGTGCTTACATGGCTTGTTGTAAATAAAGTTCATTAACTATCAAATGAGTTTCCAGAATTTGTATCATTAAAAGTTTTTTTTTCTTGAAAGTTGAATAAAAATATTTAATGCATATTAAGTGTTCATTTTGAAGCACCGATGTTTGAGTCCAGGTGAGGGAAATGGACAACAGGTGAGGTTAAACTCAAACCCCAGAAAAGCGTGATGACATCACAAAGTTGAACCAAGAAAGTACTAGTGCAAATATAACTACATTTAAGTTTTGTTTCTTTATAACCTGCTGTGTAAAGTGAGGTTCAGTAAAGTTTATAATGAAGTAATTTGACGCGCATCTTCAGGGACCAAGTCGATGTAGGATTTATTCTTTATTCCAGCTTTGGAGGAAATGTTAAATTAAAGATGCCTGTTAATGTCAACATTTATAAATAAAATTTTAGAAAATTTCATTTTTTTATATTGCACAGTACAGTCGTTTCACCGCTGTAGCCACGCCCACAGCCCTAGGGCTTGTTCGGGAGTGGGCGGAGTTTTGGGTTGGAGTTATTGACGGGAGCATATAAAAGAGGAAGTGGCAGTCATGACTGTTTTAGCAGAGCTGAGATTGCTGCTTCAGCTCTCCCAGGCAGAGTGATGCATGTCTGGGTTGGGTTAGCCGTGTGACAGCATGATTGCGGCAGAGTGAAAGCAACAAAAACAAATCTACTGAAGAGTGACCATTTCTATTTTAGCCCTATGGAGAACTTTTTTCTGTAAACTAGGGTACTTCTTCACATGCATGTACCCGACTGCCTCAATAAAAATGGTGAGTGAAGCCGGAGTTGAAGCTTAGAGCTTATTGGCTCTTTGACTCTGTTCTTTGCAGCTCTCATTCTGGGATTGAGGCTGGCTATATGGGAATCATGGTGGACCACGGCTCTGGTGCAGCTGGAAAACGAATCCGAAAACCCTCACAGCTCTATGAGGGCTTCGAGAGTCCTGGGATGCCCCCTATTCACATGGTCCCCTCAGGACCCCCACAGCCCGCGGTAAAAGACCCAAACCGGCCGGGCAGGATGACCAACCAGCTTCAGTTCCTGCAGAAAGTTGTGCTGAAATCTTTGTGGAGGCATCACTTTGCCTGGCCGTTCCACGAGCCGGTGGACGCCGTCAGGCTCGGCCTGCCTGTGAGTACAAGTGTTGGTTTTAGAAGCGTATTAAATCCTAAAGTTAGCCTTAAACGTTTTAATCCAGATAAAGGGAAGACGTGGGTCCTTAAATGTTCTCTCTCCCCAGGACTACCACAAGATCATCAAGAACCCCATGGACATGGGCTCTATTAAGAAGAGATTAGAGAACAACTATTACCGCACAGCCAACGAGTGCATGCAGGACTTCAACACCATGTTTACGAACTGCTACATTTACAACAAGGTAAGCCTGACCGCATGCTGGTGTCTGCTGTTCTGCTGCTTCGTGTAGGTGGACCCGTAGCATTTCTCTGGTTTTTACGGTTTCTTCATTTCCAGCCAACTGACGACATCGTCCTGATGGCCCAGTCGCTGGAGAAAGCCTTCCTGCAGAAAATAGCCCAGATGCCCCAGGATGAGATGGAGCTGCCGTCTCCTCTTCCACGCAGCAAGTCTACAAAGTCATCCAAGAAGGGCAGAAATAATCCAGGTGTGCTTTTATACACGTGGAACAGCTGTTGGGAGTCTTAGACCGATCTGGTCGCTGATCTTTACTCTTGGTCTACGTTTCAGGAGGAATGACGACAGCTCATCAGGTTCCAGCAGTCTCCCAGTCGGCGTACTCTCCCCCCACGCCGGAAACACCCGACTCCATCCTCTCCACCCCCCCACAGACGATTTTAGGACAGATGCTGACCCCCACCTTCCACTCCGAACAAAGCCTTCCTGCCATCACTGCCATGCCCCACACACAGCCGACCGCTAAGGTAAATCCTGACTGGGTTTGTGTGTAGAGCTGACCGTTGAGTCGAGCTGAATAAAAAAAAAAAAAAAAACCTTTCATGGTTTTAATTTTCTGTAAAATCACAGAAAAAGGGCGTGAAGAGGAAAGCGGACACAACCACTCCAACAACTGTTGCTATGCCCATCATGAACACCATGGGCGTCAGCGGAATAGGCCTGGGGCTCGGCGGTGGGCACGACTCCCCGCTGACGCTCACCTCTCTGGGGATGGACCACGGCATGGGGATGGGGATGGACATGGGTCATGGAGGCATGATGATGGGCGGCAAAGCAACAGCGGCGAGCAGGCGGGGGGTGAGCGGGCGCCCCATCAAACCCCCAAAGAAAGACCTGCCTGACTCTATTCTACCAACCCCGGTGCGCCGCGGTAAGCTAGGTCCTCAGCTGCGCTACTGCAGCGGCGTCCTGAAGGAACTGTTGTCCAAGAAGCACGCCGCGTACGCCTGGCCCTTCTACAAGCCCGTCGATGCCACCTCACTGGGTCTTCATGACTATCATGACATCATCAAGCAGCCCATGGACCTCAGCACCATTAAGGTACTGACGGACACACGGCTGACTGGACAGAGGACTGTTTTACTCTGAACCACATCTGAAACCAAATACCATCTTTTTCTCTGTTCAGAGGAAGATGGACGGCCGAGAGTACCGAGACGCCCAGCAGTTCTCTGCTGATGTTCGGCTGATGTTCTCAAACTGTTACAAGTACAACCCTCCCGACCACGACGTGGTCTCCATGGCCAGAAAACTCCAGGTAATCCAGATTAACAGATTAGAAACAGTTTAAAAGTCTTGGGTTGTGGTTGTCCTAAAATCTGACTGGTTCTCCTTCAAGGACGTGTTCGAGTTTTGCTTTGCTAAGATGCCTGATGAGCCTCCTGCACCGCCCAGCTCCTCCTCGTCCTCTTCCTCCTCCTCCTCGTCCTCCTCTGAGAGCGAGCTCAGCAGTGAAAGTGAGGAGAGCGACAGCAGCCCGAGTTCTGACTCGGAGGAGGAGAGAGCAACGCGCCTGGCGGAGCTGCAGGAGCAGGTTGGTCCGACGTCAGAGCAGGACTGAGGAGATGGTGCTCTTTTAGACTCTCTAACGGTTTTCTGTCTCTTCAGCTAAAAGCCGTCCACGAGCAGCTCACCGCTCTGTCCCAAGGGCCCATCGTCAAACCCAAGAAAAAAAAGGAGAAGAAAGACAAGAAGAAGAAGAAAAAGGTTGATAAACATCGACGAACAGATGATGATGTCATCGCCGTCAAACCCCCCAAAGTACCCAAAAGTTCCAAATCGAAGAGCAACAGAGGGCTCGGCTGTCCTGTGGTGCCCGTGAAGAAGACCCAGAGCAAGAAAAGCAACAAGAGCAAGTGAGTGCTGCCCCCTACTGGGATAGACAGGAACTGCACGCTTTATCACTAACTGTCACCTCTTCCGGTCTGCAGATCTAAAAAGAGCAGCATCATGTTTAACGTGCCCCAGCCCATGCACGACCCCATCGTGAGCCACTTCGACTCTGATGAGGAGGAGGACACGGCGCCCATGTCGTACGACGAGAAGCGTCAGCTCAGCCTGGACATCAACAAGCTGCCGGGCGAGAAGCTGGGTCGGGTCGTTTACATCATCCAGTCCAGAGAGCCGTCGCTACGGGATACCAACCCCGAGGAGATCGAGATCGACTTCGAGACGCTGAAGCCGTCGACGCTGAGGGAGCTGGAGAGATACGTGATGACGTGTCTGAGGAAGAAACCTCGAAAGCCGTATGGTCAGTCGTGTTTTCAGCGTTAAGTGCCGGCGTCTCTGACGTTTGACTTTAACGTTTAATTGGATAAAAACGTTTTGTGACTTTCCGTTTGCAGCAAGTAAAAACAGTGCAGGGAAGACGCGGGAGGAGCTTGCTCTGGAGAAGCAGCTGGAGCTGGAGCGGCGGCTGATGGACGTCAGCGGTCAGCTCAACTCCGGGAAGAAACCCGCCAAGGCCAAGCGTGAGTGGGCCATCTTGTTTTACTACATTTTAAACAAAGATGTTGCTTCTTTAGCTGACTGCTTGTGTTTCCTCCAGCTGATAAACCGGCATCAGAAGCTCACACCCAGCCCTCGCGTCTCAGCGCCACCAGCTCCTCCTCGGACTCCTCGTCATCCTCCTCCTCTTCCTCCTCCTCAGACACAAGCGAATCAGATTCCGGCTGAATCTGATTCTCTCGTGTTTCTGTGTGACAGGAGGCCATGAAGGACTGAGATGGTTCTCCTGAGAGCTGCTGTGGAGGAGGATGGATCAGAGGAGATCAGCAGAACTGAAGTTGACTGAAACTGATGGAGGCTTCATCTCATTTCTAAAGATTGAAGCATATGTTGGAGGGGTGAGGGTGCTAGAGCCAGAGTCTGTTTCCATCTGGGTCATTCCCCTCCTCAGCGTGTCGTGTCTATGCTGCATAGCTCCGATGTACAGTTGTATAAATACCTATTTTCTTTTATAAAGAAGCCTTTTATGGAGCTTTTTATTCCCTCATTCTGGGAAACGAGTGAACCGTTTTGTGTGTTTAGTTAAAGGAGGGGAGTGTGTGTGTGTGTGAGTGAGTGAGAGATTGGATGACTGTCGTGTGTGTGTGTGTGAGAGAGAGAGACCCGGCACCACAAGTGCATCCTTGTGAAGTTCCTCACCGTTTGGAGCAGAAGCAGCTTGTTCAGTAGAAGACGGAAGCCCGTGAGGCGAGGAGCATCGTTGCGTCTCCGTTGGTCGCCGCTGTACAGAAACGCGTCGGAGTTCTACGTTAATATTTCTGTTCCCATGTTGGCTGTTTGGTTCTTCTATTACAAGTTCTCTGTAAACGTTGCTTTTTTCATTCTTTGTGACCAATCTGCTAATAAATTGTGAGGATGTGTCTTGTCCACTCAGCTGTGTCCAATAACATCTGTTCTTTTGATTATTTCATCGTTTTTCTGCTTCTTTATTCAGAAGTTAACCACAATATTTAACTTTTATGGCAGTGGATGGTGGTCGTGGTCGATGGAGAACAGGCCTTTATTTTGAAGGTACTAAGTGAGTTTTGGGAGAGTGTGTCCAGAAACTGGAGTGATGTATGTCTATTAAAGGATTAAAATTCATGTTCAGATATTCTGAAGGTTTAAGTTCCTTTAAATCTCAACCTGAGCAGCTTTAGTTTGGTTTGCGTTTAGAACCAAAGCTTCAGATTTAAGCAGGAGTTTGTCAGAAAGCCTCTGTTGTTTCATCTGTATATAAATAAAGGTTAATCTGACTAATTTACATATTATTGCTTTTCATCAGTTACATTAATGTTTAAAGAAAATACATTTGTAATTTTTTTTAATCTAAAAAAAACGTATTTAGTTACTAACTGTGTTTGCGGAATTATTTGTCACTTATCTTCCTCGGGTTTTTTTTTTTTTTTTTGCACAAAATATAATTTACAACAATTATAACAATCTCTACAAAGAATCAGTTTTACCAACATGAGATAGTACCAGAACAGGCTGAATTCCAACATATAGAAGAAGGATAATGAACAGGAAGTACTAACAACAACATATAAATAAACAAAATAAAAACAAACCCCAAACAGAACAAATAAGCAAACAAATGAACAAAAAGACTGATAATTAATTAAATCTTCCTCGGGTTTCATCGTGTCAAGTTAAATGTGTTACTTCCTGCCAGTAGTTTCAAAATAAAACTGGCAGACCGGGCCGGTGGTCGCCTTGGGCGCCCTCTGCTGGAGGGAAGCTGCCAGTCATCCTTCGTGACGTTGCTCTCTTCCTTCAGGTTAAAATAATAAATAATATAAATGACAGCTGAGACACGTGAGATTTAAAATATGTATTTTTAAATTATTGATTTTCTAAAAGGATATTAAATAGAAATGAATGGAGAAACTGATTTATTATTACCCTCTGGCGGGCCGAATTAAAAGCTAACGTTTATGTTTTATTAGCTAAATAAAACAGGTGAAATGTTTTACAAAAATCCGTGTTTGTTCAGCCAAAATGTATTTGTTTAACTAAAACAAATATAATTTTATTTATCAGTCTGCTTTTCCCGGTTGAACCTCAAATTACCAAAACGTATTAAAATTACTTTACCAATAATTGAAAAACCTTTAGGATGGGAGTGTTTAAAGATGAAACCATTTCCATCTAGTTTGCGCTGCCCACATTAACGACACAGGACTCCGAATATGGACATTCGTGTGGGGATCAGTGGTTTTCTGCCCTCTTGTGGCGAGAAAGGAGAACTGCAGCATTGATGTCAAGTTGGCCAAGACATGTAGAAGGGTCGCTTCCTGTTGGTACCTTCAAAATAAAACAGATTTGATGCGAGAGTTGAGACATTTTGTTGACTTTAACGTTGTTTATTTCACTTAGTAAGCGGTAAAATATGCACACATTAAATAAAATACGATGACTAGCCTTCACCAACCTAGAAAACCGTCGTACCAGACTCTTAGGAAGGTTGACAAGGATTACACAGGTTAGTTTGTAATGTTTAATAATTTTATAAATGCTTGTTGCCTGGTTTTATATCGACTCAGATCACAGTAAAAAATACCAGAGAAACTACCGGCATGGTCCATCAAACTTGCAGAAAAAAAATATTTTCTTGTTTCCAAAAAGCCTTCAGTATTTTATAAAACTGAAATTAAAAGTTTATAAAACTGTCAAATATTTGTACTTATTAGATCTACAGAAAGTTGAGTTAACAGGATTTCTTTTTCTCCATAGCTGAAGGACGAAGAGGAGTACTACCAACAAATGTCCGCTAGATGGCGCCAATCCGCTGGATATTAAAGGTGAGCAGTAACGATTCCATTCATTTTTACATAAACATGAGTGACTAATTTATTTACTTTCCTTCTGACATAAAACGTTGTTTCTCTGACTGAAGTAAAGAATCTTTTATTGTCATTTTTACAGCTGGGTTAACTTTAGTTGTGGGTTTGTTTAGTTCTACCTGTGTAAATGGTACAGTCTAAGGGAACCCACCTGGGTCATTAGGATAATTACTTGAACCTGTGCAGGAAGGAGGAAAAGCAGGTTGGTGTAGCTTTGTGCTTTTCATATTCGTATTTGTTATTTTAACTTTATTTGTGTCGAATGAACATTTAAATTAGGATCTTTCTCATTTTTGAACATAGTTTGTTGGTTTAGTTGTAAAACTGAACACTTGTTTCACTCCTGCTAATTCTCCACCACTTTAGTCGAGTTGCTACCCTCCATGATCACAGTTAGACCAAAAACAGGAAAAATAAATGATTTGAAGTTACACTAGATATACAGAACAGCAAACATGTCTATTCCTAACATCTGTGAGTTGATTTGAGCAATGATGATAAAATATAGATACATAGATAGATAGATAGATAGATAGATAATCTTTATTGACAGACTCTTAGTTCCAGATAAAATGTATATAAAACAACAGATCAATGAAACAAAATAGATAAAATAGAAATAAAAAGATAACAGCATAAAACTAAATTAAAATCTAATTGTAATTTAAAAACTTTACTATACACTGTTCCACACACGGTTAACCACACAAACACTTCAACCAGTGTTTCCTTATACTGGACAAATAGCGACAACTGCTCACAGTAGGATCAGTGATTGCTAAAATTATACTGCTGGCAGAGCTATCCAGTCGGCCTGTAAAAGTGCTTTAAAAGTACAAACGCCTGCTGTTACAAACATCTGACTGGCACTGCCCCCTCTGGGTATTTAAAGTATGATCCTTAAGGCATCGTTGTGTGCAACTTGCAGCTTATTCATGCTGCTTTGATTGTAGGATGACTACAGTTGGGCTGTGTAGAGCGGAGTACAATATGCTTTAAATAAAGCCACCTTAACTGGAGGTGAACAAAAACCAAACTTACGAGCTATAGTGTTAGCTTGTGCATACAGCTTACAGCACTGTCTGTGGATGTCAGCATCATCACGCATTTGATCGGTTATAAAGTGGCCAAGGTATTTCACATTCTCACACACATTAATATCACTATTAGACAGTCTGAACACAGGAAAGTTTAACTTTTTATCTGCTTAGTTCTACATATCAAGATAGCACTTTTAACAGCATTATACTGAATATCGTACTGCACACCTTATTCAGAGCAGATATTTAGGAGCTGCTGTAAACCAGTATATATATATACTGTATATATATAATAATAATAATGATAATGATAATATTGCACATATTCAGTAACTGAATGCAGAACATAAACAAACCCAGAGGAGTTCATGTCTGCAGACCACAGAATAAAAGTAACCTGGTTAAACAGTTAGTTAAATGAGATTAAACTGGTGACTGTTCTCACCCACTTTATGACATGGTCTGACCCAGTCAGAAGTCTGAAACACATCAGATGTTTAACAGGAAAAGTGGAAGTTTGGGGTTTACAATAAAATATGTGTGTTTAAATATATTCTGGATTATTCATTTCCAGTATGTAGATGTAAAAACTGTCTTGGGGCAGCAGCAGCTCAGCAGGTAGAGCGGCTTGTTCAGTAATCGGAAGGTTGCAGGTTTGATCCTGACTCTGGACAGAGATTTCTGCTTTTGTGTCCTTGGGCAAGACACTTAACCCGCCTTGCCTGCTGGTGGTGGTCTGAGGGACCGGTGGCGCCTCTGTCAATGCGCCCCAGGGCAGCCGCGCTACAACGTAGCTCATCACCACCGGGGTGTGAATGGATGAATGATACTCTGTAGTGTAAAGCGCTTTGGTGTCCTCATTCTAGAGATTGTGTGTGTGTGTGTGTGTGTGTGTGTGTGTGTGTGTGTGTGTGTGTGTGTACACCAGATATCCCTCAGGATGACTTCCTGCTCAACACGACAAGGAGCAAAGGGTCAGCCTGAAGATAGGAGAGCTTTGAGACGCTCCACTGAGTGTCTAAAAAAACAGACTCAGAATTCAGGATAAAAGAAATTTAACATCAAAACACAGATTTAAATTTAACATCAAATCTAAAAGTACAACCAGTGATTAGAAACAACACATTCATTTCCTCATCTTTCCTTTCAGGGTTCATTCTTGGTGGCTCCGGCTCTGGTGGCCCGTGGAGCTCCTAAAGCATCCATCATTACTTTGGGAAGCGTCGTTGCACAGGCGAGGAACCAGCAGGTGTGGCGAGTCTCATGTCTTTACTCCACATTCAGTCATAATTAGATGTGTTTCTGGTTATGGTTCAGAGGAAAAACAAAACGAGTTCTGATCCGTAGTAGTGCTGGAGCTCAGTAGGGCAATAAAAATGTCATCATGAAGTTTATAATAAAAACTCAAATAAGTTATTTCTTTATTTGTCCAGATTTAGGATTTGTTCTAACTGAGCTGTGTGAAGTTTCAGCATGGTCCAACAGATGTAGAAAAATAACTGTTTATAATAATAATATTAATAAAAATAAAACAATACTATTATTATTATTGTTATTATTATTATTGAGTTATTTTTCTACATATGTTTGTTGGACCATGCTAACGACTTTACAATAATTGTATTTTTTTATTATTATTATTATTATTACTGATTAAAACTGTAAAATGGTTTAATCGGTTCACAGGACATTGTTTTGATAGATTTTTAATCAATCAAATCTAAAAATGTGGTACAAATATTGTACTTTAGGTCTGGTTTCACTAAACTTGTCATAAAACCAGACAAGAGGAGAAAGATCAGTTTAGCAAGCTTCGGTGCAAACAGAAAACAAGTGTTACTCTGCCTCCTTGTGGCCACGATGGAAATATCAAGTTACCAAGAAAAGTAAAGGGCTCATTTCCTGTTAGTAACTTAAACATGTTTGGTTGGAGTTGAGACCTTTTGTTGATTTAAGACTTGTTTGGATCTCTTTATAACTAGCAAACTATAAACATATTAAAGTAAAAAATAAACAATAAAA